AGCCTCATTAGCTACCAACGGTACAAAATGAACGATAAGCTGCAGCGAACGTGACGCAAGAGCTGTATTAAACACAATCATCCATTAAAATAATTCACATCGCTTTGTAAATCAAGAGTTTCAAAAATAATAACAACTAATACTACCATGAATTCGTACGATAAACTCAATAAGTTTGAAACTCCCCAAAAAAGGTACAAGCTTTTTATCACTAAAAATGTTCTAATAGTTTTTCGATGTTCAAAGAGGACAAGCTAGTTTTTACAAGTGCATGTAAAGCGCTGCAAACAAACAACCACATAATTTCTCCGTTGAAGAGTGACCATTTAAGGAAATGTGGAGTTCCAGTATTACCCCTCTAAGTCTAGACAGAGAAGAAAACAGGCACCATAGGGCTAGCTTCGTTTTGTAGATTATTAACATCCACCACTCCCTAACTGATCGTGGCGCTCAAATTATCCCAACAATGAGATGTAATTTTCAAATGATTCAAATATACTTTTGGTATTGTACTCTACGTCTATACCATTACTGAACATCATTAGACATGCTTCTTCAAAATGGTTTTTTCAGGTTTTAGGTCAGGGATAAATAACTGCCAACTCATAAATCACTAGAAGGTGCTGAAGATGCAAAAATAAGCTCAACAGCATTAGAAAGTCACTTTACGGATCTACATTTATAATTTACATATAACAGGATTTTCACTAATTATATCGTTTCAGGAAGAACCCTCAGATCAAAAATTGTGTTCCGTTTTCAAAGAAATCGCTATTAAGATTGAGATCAAGGCACTACACTAAAAACTGGAGCGCAAAACTTGTCTGCTGAAGGGTCACAACCCGTCTAAAGAGAATTTAAACAAATCTAAGATGCCCAAAAATGAAGTTCTTGTGAACTCTGTAGAGAACGGAAAGTGGATTCTGCAATCTCCTGGAGCTACGCAACGTCAAGCAACATCCACCAAGTAGTCCTTGATTCTATAAAGCAAGCACATGCCTTGAACCGCGGATCTGCTTGTAAGCGAAAAATTCACACCATACACGACCAAAATTTTCATCAAATGTAATTTTTGAGCACTTTTCTCTCGGGCCTTGCGGTGATTCCAAACTTTGAAAAAAGAATGTGGAGGTTTTTAGTCATGATCAAAAGCTCTTCCAAATTTACCACCAGTTTTGAGTTCTCATAATAATTTCAGTTCAAGTTGCACACCAAAGTTGTTTCTTGAACCTGCCAAGGGAAAATGCACTGAATGTACTTTCAAATTTGGCTCATGTTCCAAACTCCGTGTGAACGCGAAAACTCCAAGGCAAAAAAGTGAAACATCTCGACTTCTGGTGACGTAATAAAAAGAAGATAAAGCCATTTACCGAGATTTCGGACAGAGATTGTCTTTAATCCAACCAATTGTAGGGCACCTGCTCCCAAGATCAACTGGCAGCTTCGACTGAAAATATTAGAGGTGGAAATGTGAGTGTAACCTCAAGAGCATATGACGAAATTTTTGAAAATATACTATGCAATAATTTTTTCTCAGATAATAAGACACATACCTATTAAATCCTTTCAACAATTCAACAACACGCGAGAGAATATCAACCGCGAATGTCGGTAGGGCAACGAAACATTCGCAATAGTCCGCGAGAATTTTCAAGAAAACCAGAGCAGATCTAAAACAACAGCGACGACGTTTTTATTAAAATATTTTAATTGTTGCTTATGATGAAACCCACCGCACGACAACGTAGGGAACACCTTCTACCATAAGCGCTTCACCGCCTGCAGATCCTCCTGAGGTATGGACGTTCCGTAGTTGTCCTGTTCGGACAGATTCGTCTACGAGGCACTGGAATTCAGCCGCTACCTCTGACGCTTTCCAAATTTCGGCGTCCAGCATCGAACTAAACTACAAATTAAACACCCGCGACTAGCACCACAAAAAA